ATTTTGTTGCAATCCAAAACACTGCGGGGGAAATCCACAGCTGGGGAGAAGAGCAAGTGTGCTGTGATGCACACGGGATCCCCTGGACATGCCTCCACTGCAGAACTGGCTCAAACTGGTCCTGTTTCTAACAAGACCCAGAGCCAAAGTTTAAACCTTGGAACAGCACTCACCAGTAACACCTGTGAGCTCTAACTGCTCCCCCGGATGGAACCAAAGGATCAGGACATGACCAGAACCTGAACGCAGGAGACCCTTCACAAGTGAAGGGTCTGCTGCCCAGGAAGAGCCAATGCACCCTGAACCCTGGATCAGGGAGACAGAATTGCCTCCTGTCTCCTTGCTGGCCAAACTCCCCCAAAAGCCCCCCCCCCCCAAAAGCCTGCGCCAGCCCTAACTGGTTTGGCTCAGTGAATAGAGTGTCAGCCTTCGGACTGAAGGATCCCAGGTTCAATTCCAGTCAAGGGCATGTACCTTGGTTGCAGGCACATTCCCAGTGGGGAGTGTGCCAGGAGGCAGCTGATCGATGTTTCTAACTCTCTATCCCTTCCTCTCTGTAAAAAATCAATAAAATGTACTAAAAAAAAAAAAAAAAAAGCCAGCACCATAGCATTAGTTCCTATGGGCATTGGGCAGCAAGCCCTTGCTTGGTAATATGTCCAGGTGAGAGGGAAGATGAGATTTTAGGGGGAGAATCTGCTTCAGGAATGAACAGAGAGGGGGGACTCTTGCTCGATCACAATCATAGCAAAAAATACCCAGACAACAGTGAGCAGGAGTATGCTGTTTGCCCACAACAACGAACTGCCTGGGGACACGCCAATAGGGGCTGGGCATAGGGAAGGGGAGGTGATCTCCCAGCCTGGCTCTTGCTATTAGAGCCCACCTACGCCTGGTGCCCAGCTCCTGGTGACCCACTGACAGCAGGGAAGTGTCCAGAGGCAGAATCAGGATGGGGAGGGGCCTGGATATCCCCACAGAGAATGATAGTGGAAGCTTCTGGAAGCATATTTCTCAGAAGTCCAGAGTCCTGTCACCCCCAGGTTGGGAGGGATTGCAGTAATTCCTACCAGGCAGGGTGCTTGTGAAAACTAAGTGAAATAATTCACAGAAAAATATTATCCCAGTGCCTGGAATACAGAATACATACTGAGCCCTCAGGCACCCTGAGGAGGAGAAGGGAGGACATGGCCGGGGACCCAGGGCTGGAAGAGGAGCTGGGAACAGCCAAAAGTCTCCTGGGCAAACTTACCTCTGGGCACCGGCCCTGAACTTGTTCTGGCGTCACAAGGAAGTTGGTCACCAAGAAGAACACATTCTCTCCCTACGAGGCAAATGTCAGGGTTTGCGACATGGCTCCCTCAATGGGAGGGGACAGAAGCTGGCAGCGTGGTGTGTGAGGGAAGGAGCCCTGGCCTCATTGAGTCATCAACCCTGTGCCCAGGACAATGCCTCCAGTGAGAAGGGGGGCTAGCTGGGTTTCTGGCCACTTCTGAGCCCACGTCTGCCTCTTGGAGACAAGTTTATTTTTCATGTTCACTCTCATTCCCTTAATCAGAATTTTCTAGGAGCTCTTGTTTCTAGGCACTAAAGATCTAGAACTGAGTCGGGTCCGGCACATGCCCAGCTGGTCAGACGGTAGACCCCTCATTGCAGGAATGGCCAAGGGCCAGGGTAGCAGGTGGTGAGTTCTGCCTGGGCAGATGGTGGTCAAAGGTAGGAAGAGTGGCTGGCACCCATGTGCTGAGCATAAGAGCTCTGTGAATTTAGGGGAATGTACACCCAGGAAGGGGAGGCAAGGGCTGGGCAGAGGTCTATAACATCAGTCAGGAACTAGAGGGACTTGGTGGCTCCCATCATGTACAGGGAGACTCCCAAGGCTAGAAAGCAAGGGCTAGCAGGCTCTGATGATGTCACACGGGGAAGCTCAGCCTGACTGCTGCGTGGGTGCACCTGGGACCCACTAGCAAATCCCAGCCTCATCCAGGTGTGGCCTGAGCAGCAGTGAAAATTGTTCAGAGATGGAGAGGATGGGGTGGGGGCGGGGAGGGGTCAAGCTGTGTCCAGCTTTTGCACTGGGGGATGAAGAGAGGCCACCGGGGAGAGGGTGATGATTTTTCTTTGGATGTGGTGGGTGTGCACTGTGCTCGGGGCTGGTGTCACTGCGGGTACAATTTGGGCATCAGCAGGACAGAGGTGGAAATGGACGGTGGACAATCTGGATAGAAAAAGCAGCCAGAAATGTAGGAGGGGCAGCGGTAGAGGCCTGACAGCAGCCCCCCAGGTCAAGGAGGCAGGCACACAGGGCCTGGCCCCCCCATGCTCCTCCCACCCCACTCTCAAGCTCAAGCTCAATGTCAAGTTCCCAGACATTCCACTCTTCCAGATGCAGCCTTTGAAAATGTACTGCCCCTGGCCTGGCTTCCTGACCCCTCCTCTTAGTCACCTGGAAGCCTCTTACACATCCCATAGCTCTGTCCAGGTGCCTCTCCTCTGTAAGGCCCTTTCCTAGCCCAGCCCTGTGACAGCACCAGCGGTCATCACCCCGTCTGGCATCACATGCGTCTCTTGCACATGGGTGCTGCAACGGTGGTCTCAGAGGTGTCAGCACCTGGCAATAGCACTGAGGCACCCACCTGTGCTGGCTTCACAAAGTCAGCCACATCCCACAGCCGATGCCCCAGCTCCTTAATCTGGGTCACGGAAACGCCTTTGAGTTTGGTGATAACGGAAATCTGGGGGTCCAGGTCCTGTTCCTGGTAGCCTTTTTTGACAAGGAGGGCCCACCTGGGGAGGAGCAATGGTCAGTATGGGGTGTCCCTGGTGCACTGTAAGCAGTGGCCGAGCTGGGCCCTACTTCTTCATCCTCCTCCCTCACACCCTGTAGGCTCCCAGAACACCACTCAAGTCCCCTATGCTCATCCCTGTCATCTCCCCCTGCCCCCCAACACCCTGCACAGGCCAGAAACACAGGCCATGCCTAAGAGAGCCAGTGCCACATGGTGTCTCCTATTAGGCACTCATGGGCTTGGAGATGCCCCCTACCAATTCCTTCACCAGCCAAAACTCTCCCCCTGTCCCAGCTTTCTCCTTAAAGATTCCCCTGATTCGGCCAGAACTGGTGAGTCGGGGAATCTTGTATTCTATTGGGGTCCTTAGTATTATAGTTCACACAAGTGTCAGGGGCTACATCTTGCCCTGCCCATGGCCTCATGGGCAAGTAGTGGAGCCCAACCTTCTCTGTACCCAGAGCCCAACATGGGGCTAGGACAAGGCTCAGGAAAAGAGGCAGGTGGGCACACGGTTTATTCTTCACCCACTGGCCCCTATACAGACAGAAAACCTTCCTTCTGCCTATCCACTACCCTGTCCCAACCTGCCCCGGCCTCCACTTACCACCAGCCCAGCCCCTGAAGAATCAAACCCCCAACCCTGAGCCCAGCAGGAGAAGTCATGGTCCCTCAGCCAACGTGGCCAGGAGCCGTTCTCTTACCCTACCACGTAGACCACAGCCCCAAGCTGCAGGAGCCTCTGCAGGACGCCCACCCACCAGTTCTTGGTCATCACATACTTCGCGGTCTTGTAGTCCAGAAGCCCCCAGGCTGCCAAGGCCACTGGGGAGCCCATGCTCCCAGCTCCTGCTGGCTGCTGGGGCACATGAGTCAGCAGAGCAGCTGCAGTCACAGCTGAACAGGAGATAAAGCAGGAGTCCAAGAAGGACCTGGCCAACAGCTATTAAAGGGACAGGATCCACTTGGGGCAGGATCCAGCCTTCCCTCTCACTTCCCAATCGTGGGTTCAGTCCCAACCTCCAGCTGCCCTGGGCCTCTCCAGACTCCCTCTGCCGGACCCTGGGCACACAGAGAGGAGCAGCCCCTGTTCCCGGCCCTCAGGACTCACTTCCTTGGGTGATGCGGGGATAAGTGATAGGCGGTATAGGAACTGTGAGAGGTACTGGGGTTGCAGGGGTCCAGCGGAGGGCCAAGGAAAGCTTCAGAAAAAAGTGACCTCTGAACCCACACTTGAAGATTCTGAAGTTCAACAAAGTTGGGGAGGAACGTCCTGGTGAAGGAAGCTGCATATACGACCTAGAGAAGCGGTCAGCAAACTGCAGCTCTCGAGCCACATGCGGCTCTTTGGCCCCTTGAGTGTGGCTCTTCCACAGAATACCACGGCCTGGGCGAGTCTATTTTGAAGATGTGGCGTTAGAAGACGTTTAAGTTTAAAAATTTGGCTCTTGACGAAACTGGTTTGGCTCAGTGGATAGAATGTGGGCCGGCGGACTGAAAGGTCCCAGGTTCGATTCCGGTCAAGGGCATGTACCTTGGTTGCCGGCACATCCCCGGTAGGGGGTTTGCAAGAGGCAGTTGATCGATGTTTCTCTCTCATCGATGTTTCTAACTCTCTATCCCTCTCCCTTCTCTCTCAAAAATCAATTATAAATATATTAAATTTGGCTCTCCAAAAAAATTTCAATCGTACTGTTGATATTTGGCTCTATTGACAAATGAGTTTACCGACCACTGACCTAGAGCATGAAAGAACTGGGACCCACAGAGAGTGTGACTGGCTCCAGAGAGGAGGCTCTGCAAGGTTCCCCAGCCTTCCTGTGTAATGCCCTCCTCACAAACTGCCCACATCCCCCAAGCGCAGGAACTAAAAGCCCAGAGTCAGGTATCTCCCCTAGCCCTGGGAAGGAGGGCGATGCTGGAACCGCATGAGATAGCTGGGAGAATAAGCACCTGCAAAGCGCCCACCCTTGCGCTCAAGGTCTTGTCTGCCTAGCTAAGAGCAGACTCAAGTTCAGAGCAGACTAGAGGCGGTTTCTACAGCAACCAACAACACCAGGTTGCTCCAGTGACTGCGTCTCTATTTGCTGTAAGGAAAGCCTGTTTGCTGCAATTGGTTGTTGAAGCCGGAGGGTCCGCCCAAATTCCCTGGCTGGTGATGTGGTGCGTAGTTCCTACATCGGTGTCCGCAAATGCAAAATGGACGTAACCATGAGGGGTCCCTGCGAGAAGTCTGGGGAGAGTGAAGAGCAGGAGAAAGAGGTGGCAGCGGAGGCTCCAGCAGCTGTGCGCTCTGCAGGGGTCCCGGAGGCTGAGGATTCAGACACAGATTCGGACTCTAACCTGGAGACAGAAGGTGCCTCCGGGCAGGGCATGCCCGGCTGGTCTCACCTTTGGGGCTTCTTTGGCAGGAGTGGAAGGGACAGGCTGGCATCAAGTGGGCAGGGCCCCTTGTCCAGCAGAGCAGGGAGCTCAAGTGGGCAGGGGGCTTCGATCAAGTGGGCAGGGAGCTCTCCTTGGGACACCATCAGCACAGCCGGTGGCGGCAACTCCCTGTGCCTTCCCTGCAATGCTCCTGGGGCATCAGACGCTCCAGTTAGAACACGCTGCTGCGGAGTGAAATGCCTGGTAGTGACAGAGCACAGGGAAACCCTTGGAAGATGACTGGCTGTGCCTGAAGAGGGACCCACATTCTTCTCTCTGTCTCCTACTAGGCACCCAAGAGCTCAGAGAACCGGTCAAGGATACCCTCTACCTGAGGTCTTGCCAGGCCCATGGTGTTGTGCCTGTTTCCCGCTTTCTGCGCCAAGGGAGAGCCCCAGAGCTGAACCTGCGGCACCGTGGCCTGGGGCCCCAGGTACCCCTGGAGAGGACCTTGGGGCCAGGCTTGTAGGGACGGGACCTGGGAGGCAGCAGCCATGGGTGTAGCCCCCTTCCTGAGCCTGTCCCACACACTCCCTGGCTTTGCTCTGTGCCAGGCATAGCCCACCCTCACATCTGGGTGACAGTTGGGACCAGGGCTTTGAAACAGTTCAATCAGGGCCAGGTAGCCTGCACTGGGCACCTCACCTGCTGGAGGGAGAGATCAGGAAAGGCTCCAGGAGGTGGGATCTAGGTGGAGCCTAGAACGAGAAGCAGGTGTCCCCTGGGCATGGGGAAAGGGAGGGCCTGCCAGCTGGAAGGCACCAAGTGGGCTGAGCCCTGGAAACATGAGCCAAGGTAGTAGCTATCTATGTCTGGGGCCTTCAGCCCGGGAAGGATCAGGCCTTTTAGGCCCCTCTCTGTCCTAGGGGGCCCGGGCTCTGGCTCCTGCGCTATCCCTCAATCCCTACGTCAAGCGGCTGGACCTTCGGGACAACGAGCTCTGTGGGGCCGGCGCAAAGGCCCTGGCGCGGGCTCTGAGCAAAAGCAGCAGCATCTGTGGTAGGTGGGCCTGTCCCTACAAGCCATGGGTGCTTGCGCCCTCCCTTTTCTGAGGGGTGTACCCTGCCCCCAGAGCTTCTTACCTGTGGGTGTTGCTGGGGAGGGGACCTCATCACAAGGGTGGAGTTAGACCTGCGGTACACCCAAAGCTGATGCCACCCTTTCCTGTCCAACCCCGTGGCACCCACTCACCTCCCCCGCTGGCCAGCACATTCTTCATATGGTGGCTCCCAGTGCCTGAGTGCAGGTGGGAGAGTCCTTTGACACACAGGAAGGGGCTAGGCAGGGTGAGAAGAGGGAAGGAGGGGTGGGTGTTTGGTGGGACTGGATTCAAATGCTGCCTCTGCCATTAATAAGAAGGGGGACCCTAGGCAAGAAGCTCAACCTTGTTGAGCCTCAATTTCCAATCTGTGAAATGGCACAACAAGACCACTTAGACTTTGGAGATGGGGAGAGAATCAGTGAAACTGCATGTGGCCCACATAAGGGATGAGTTGTCTGGCCCACATAGGTCCTCACTTAGACTATAATTGTAGGTCCCCAGCAGTGAGAGCTTCTGTTCTGGGGCTTGTATTACTACCAGGCCCAAATGATCAACAGGGTGGTCGCATCTCCATCATGGGCATTCTCATAGCAACAGGAAGTGGGTGGTCTTAGCTCCTTGACAAAGAAGCTCATAAACTCATGGGGTGGGGAATGGCATCGGGGAAGTTACCTGGGGCCTGAGGAAACCCATCTGATAGGTGCCAGAGTCGCCATGCACCCCTGGACAGTACGGCTACAAAGCCCCTTTTGCCAGCTCAGGCCTGGAAGGCATGAAGCAGGGTGGAGGAGGATGGCGCCTGGCTTTGAATGCCACTGACAGGAGTGGTGCCAATCCCCAGATGTGGACCTGTCAGAGAACCAGCTGGGAGCGGTGGGAGCCCAGGCCGTCTGCGCTGCCCTCGTGGCAAACCCTGCCATACAGAAGGTACAGCTGGCAGGGAACAGCCTGGAGGAGCAGGCAGCCCGGTACCTTGCTGAACTCCTGCTGGCCCACACGGGCCTGAAGTCCCTGGACCTGAGCTATAACCAGCTAAATGACCAAGCAGGTAATACCCGGCCAAGGCCACCAGGAGACACTTGAGCTCACCTTCCTGGGGCAGAGGCGGGTGGAGGTTGGCGGGACCTATCTGAGCATCCATGCTCTGGCTCCTGCTCCCCAGGTCCCACAGAGACCTGCACCTTTCCCACTCCTTCCACACAAGACTCTTAATCCGCTCCACGAATATCTCACTGCTTGCTGCTACCTGTGTTGGGAGCTGATTGGACCTCTAAGAATCTAACCATGAACAAAGCAAAGGCCCCAGCCTCAAGGAACACATACTAACAAGATAACTCTCCATAATTATTACTACTATAAAAGAAACAAACAGGACACGATTCTAGAGAAGAATGGGAACCACCCATTAGAGAGGTGGCCGAGGTGGCCTCTGTGCAGAGATGACATTTAAACTGAAATGAGCAGGGTTGGGAGGAAGCAGCCATGGAAAAATCAGAGGGAGAGCCTTTCAAGCAGAAGGACAATAAACATGCAGGCCTATTACCCAGACTGGCAGACGTCAGAGAGCCAGGGGAGAGCGGCTAGGCCGTGGGGTAGAGAGGCAACAGGGGCTGAAGGGCTATAAAACATGGCAAAAGGCATGAAGGTTTTATTCTAAGTGCTGTGGAAGGCATCAGTGAGATTCCTTGGCCTTACTACTTTCTCTCATGCTCCAGGGCCTTTGCCTGAGCAATCTGCTTTGCCAAGAACATGGCATTTTACCTGCCTGCCCCCAACCACTCCAATAGATTATAAGAATCACCTGGGTCCTAGCTGGTCTGGCTCAGTGGATAGAGCGTTGGCCTGTTACTCAAGGGTCCCAGGTTTGATTTCTGCCAAGGGCACATGCCTGGTTTCGGGCTCAATCCCCAGTAGTGGGTGTGCTAGAGGCAGCCCATCAATGATTCTAGCTCATTATTGATGTTTCTCTCTCTCTCTCTCTCTCTCTCTCTCTCTCTCTCTCTCTCTCTCTCTCTCTCTCCCTCTCTGAAATCAATAAAGATATATATATATATATATATATATATATATATATACTTTTTTTTTTTTTTTTAAAGAATCACCTGGGACCCTGGGTTAGGAATACAGATTCCTGGGCACCTGCTGAACCAGACTTGGGGGGAGGGGATGCATCAGTATCGTTTTTTGAAGGAATGTACAGAGTGAATAAGAAGGTCTGTCTTGGTGTTTCGGAAGGAGAGACGCTTGGACCAGCCCTGGCAGAAAACACAGGACTCACTGAGCTTAACATAAGCTGGAATCATCTTCGAGGCCCAGGAGCGGTCTCCTTTGCCAGAGGACTGGGGGTATGAGGCCCCCACCCACCCCACAGCCAGCCTGTCCCTTGTCAGCAGGTCTCCCAGGGAGCAGCTCCCCATCATTACAGCTCTTCAGAAAAGAGGCTTGGACCTTTTAAGCAGAGCGTAAGGGATATTTTGATAGGGGCCTTTTATTTTCCCAGACCCATTTTATGACTTCAAAGCACTGTACCCCATCTCATGTCATTTACTGAGGAATCCGCAGCTGATTACTACACACCTTCCCCAGACATCGTAGACTCCACGGTGAGGGACAGCGTGCAGTCTGGTGACATGCTCCCTATGGGGCATGCACAGGTGCTCCATGAGTGACACGCTTAGATCCCAGTACACGTTCTAACAAGCCATGTGCTCCCATGGTTGTGGTCCAAAGGCCTCAGGAATGGGTGGCTGCAGTCCCTTCCAGGGTGGCACAAAATGCCTGTATTGCCCTCTGTGTCAGCTATCTTTTTTGGGTCCTCTTCAGGGAATGGCAGTTGCTGCCTTGCGCTCCTATAGGGGCTGAGCTGGGGTCCTGCCCCACAAGGTGACAGGTCTGTCTTCACAGCATACCCACAAGCTCCCATCCTTCTCCCCATCACAGCCCCCCTGGGCAGGTTTCACCCAACTCTAGGCCCCTGAGCTGCTCTGTGCCTTGGGGTACCCCCCTTCAAGAGGTCCCCAAGCAAGCATGGGGCCTATTCATTGCGTCTCTGGGGTCTGTATTCATGCCCTCTATGCTGTGCTTCTGGTTGTTCTGCCCTACTGGTCACCATGGTCCAGTACTGGTCCAAGCCCCAAGACTCCCCTGGAACCTCTGTCTTGCCCTCAGTCTGTGCTCTGCACCGCGGGTGTCCTGGGCTTGAAGGCTGTGGCTCTGGCTTTCTCCACTGTCACTTGTGGTCCCATGGCTTTGCTTTTTTGTATCCCAGGCGAACATCTTCCTGAGAGTCCTGGACATCTCATTCAATGGCTTTGGAGACCCAGGAGCCTCTGCAGTGGGTGAGGCACTTCGGACCAACAATGTGTTGGAGGAACTCAACATGAGGTGAGGAGCACAGGACGCCCCCCGTGTCACAGTGTCTGGGCTCAGAGCCACCCCAGGCAGGGACCAGGGGCTCCGTGATCCTGCTGCTGTTCACCACTTCAATTCCCAGACTGATCGGTCTATGATGGGCTTGAGCCACAACCCGGGAGCACCTAAGCTACATCCTCTCATTCAAGGCCATCGCTTACACACAGGGCTCATAATTCCTACCACACAGGCCGGGGCTGGGAATTGCCAGTGTATGGAAAGTATCTTCAGCAGAGCCTGGTGTAGGCTGGATGCTCTGTGTGAGCTTTCCTCCCTTTCAGAAGAGGAGCTGACTCTGATAAGTGGGTCCATGTGCATGCTCCCCTCAGCATGTGGCTGCTGGGAGGGGGGTGGGCTGCTATGTGTGCTGTTCCTCCCGGCCCGGGCAGACTCTCAGCCCTCGGTAGGTAACCAGAGGAGGGGCCGCAAGTCCAGGGGAAAAGAGAGGGACAGAAGAGAAGCCTGGCAGGTCATGGTTGGGCTGCCAGGGCTGAGCCCCTCCCAGGAGCTGCAGAGTGAGCAGGGCCTCTCTGCTGTAGTCCTCCCCTCCACTCCTCCCCGTGTAAGGAGCCAAGGCCAGAGGATTCCATGAGAGATGCTGACATTTGAGGCCAGAGCTGGGGTCTGAGACAGTCTGGCGCTGTGCCGCTACACGGAAGATAGCACAATGCATGTGTTTTCCTGTTGCAGCAACAACCGCATCTCTGCGGTGGGAGCCCGGAGCCTGGGCCGGGGCCTCCGGGTCAACAAGACACTGAGGATTCTTGCTGTGAGTGCTAGACTGATGGGGAGGCCCCAGCAGACCAGCCTGAGTCTGTCCACACAGATGCTTCCCCTGTCACATAAGTCCACCCCAGGGGCAGCAGGGAACACAGGTTCCAGAGCCCAGGTGGGGGAGAGGGCCTCCTGGATTCCTCTTTTACCCTGTCCTTCCCTTGCTACTCACTCACCTATCTCTAGCCGGGTGCATGCACTTCTTCAGACTCCTCCCTGCTCCATCCTTCCCTCCCAGTGATATCACCACATCTCCCAGCTGTCCTTTCTCCTCCTCAGCCCCCCGGAGTGCTGCTCTGCTGCTGCTGATTGAGGCACCCTTGCTTCCCCTCCATCTTTGCCCCTGCTCTTCCTCTGGCCTTACTATTATAGAACCCAGGATCAGCCCAGGTGCACTGTTAGCCATTGCTCAGACTTACCTGAGGCCCTGTGTGCACAGCAGTTTCCTTCCTCCAGGATTGCCAGTGGGGACGGAGCAGCTGAGGAGAAGACAGAGAAGCGAGGGTGCAATGAGGATAGAGCAGCTCCCTGAGAACCACTGTGCCAACAGCATGTGCTCAGAGGATAGTACCACCAGCTGGTGGGGGGTGCGGGTAATCCAGTCCTGCCTGGCCCTCAACTCGCTCAACTGGCAGAGGAGGCCCCTGCAGCACTCCCATCCCCAGCCTGAGGCTTACTCCTCTCCCATCCCCTACCCTATCCCATGCCTCCCCCCACTTCCTGCTCTAGAACCCAGACCTCTCTCTCTCTCTTTTTTTTTTTTAATATATTTTATTGATTTTGTACAGAGAGGAAGGGAGAGAGATAGTTAGAAACATCGATGAGAGAGAGTCATCAATCAGTTGCCTCTTGCACACCCCCTCTGGGGATATGCCTGCAACCAAGGTACATGCCCTTGACCGGAATCGAACCCGGGTCCCTTCAGTCCCCAAGCCGACGCTCTATCCATTGAGCTAAACCGGTTTTGGCCCAGACCTCTCTCTTAAGCTCTGGATCCAAATTTCCACCTGCTGGATGGTACCCCAGATGTCTCATAGGCAGGTAGGGTTCTCAGAATCCATTCTGAATGCATTATTTCCCTCTGAAGGCTGCCTCGTGGTGTGTATAGGGGCAGGGCTCCTTCTCATCCAGGCAGAAGCTTGTCCCTCCCTCTTTCCAACATCTTCCTTTCTCCTGAAGAGCTCTCAGGCTACCTGCTCCTCCTCCTCACTTGCCCTCCTGGAGTTTTGTTGACCTGCTGGTTTCTCATCGCCAGCCCTTTCTTCTCACCTGCTACCGGGCGATCTTTCTAAAGCAGAAGTATGCCTCTGTCCCTCCTGCTTTGAAATGTACTTATCTGCCTTGAAAGTATGCTTTCAACCCATCAGAGGCTCCCTGGTGGATAGAGTCAAGCTTAGTATTGTGTCATTTGCAGCCAGGATATGGGCTCTGCCAACCTGCCTCTCCCTCCTGCCTTGAAATGTACTTATCTCACCCAAGCTCCTTAGAACTCTCCAGACATGCTGTGCATTTCCTTATTTCTCTTTGCCCCTGTTGCTCTTCTTGCTGAAATGCCCAGCTTCCACTACCTCGTCTGTAAAGCTCAGCACAGTTATTTGATCACCCACCCAACCTTTACCTCCCAGGTAGAGTTGGCTCACACTCTCACTGTACTTATCACATTGCGTTTTTATGTTTCTTTTCCCTCTTCTCCTCCAGTGAGTGAGCTCTTTGAGGGCAGGAGTATGTCTTGTGTGTCTGCATCTTGGCATGGGGCAGAGCCAGGCACTGGGGAAGTGCTCAGTGTCTACTTCCTCTCTCCCCTGGCCCCAAAGCCTCACCCAGAGCGTTCTGTCTGATGGAGACACCTTATGCGATGAGACAGTGGGGCTATCCTGAGGCACACCATTAGAGACAAGGAATCCCCAATCTTCCCTTTTGGGGTGCCCTCCCGGCCTCCCTAGGATCAGCTTTTCTGTTTTGTGTGCATGTGTGTGTGTTTCTTAGATGTCCAGGAATCCCATGCGAAGTGAAGGCTGCTTGGGTGTCCTCAAGTCTGTCCGGGATAATCCAGTGTCTGCCCTGGAACTGCTGGATTTCTCTGTAAGAACTTTTCATTCCCCTCTGAGCTTCCCCACAGCCCTGAGGTCTACATATGGAGAGGAAGAAAGTAAGGCTTAGAGAAACAAAGTGCCCTGCCCAGATACATAGTGTGGTGGAGTCTGAGTTCCACACCAGGCCTGAGAGTAGATCATAATGCCCATTCTGGCTCCACTCCCAGGTCTGACTGGGGTACTGCTGTGGTCTCACCTCAGACCCCTGCCTGGGCTCTTCATGGGCTAAGAGAGCATAAGTGGCTCAAGAGGGACAACGCTTACTGTTCACTAATATTTGGATTTGCAGGTTCAGCGCTTGCAAGGCAGCCCCCCCCCCCCCATTTCCTGTATTGCCTGCAGGCGAATCATGGTGCTGGAAGACTCATTTGTGTGGCTGTGAGGGAAATGGGGACCCGTTTTCATTCAATTTTGTCTTTCTAATATAAAAACAAGTGTCACTCTTTTCTGAGGCAATTAACATTAAGGAGAGAATCCCCAAATATGAATTATTAAGAGAAATTTGTCACAAATCACTGCTTATTCCACCCTGATTTATTTAAGTCCAGACTTGAGTCAAAGTCTTTCCAGAGATGTGTTTTTACAGTCTCAGTCCATCAGGCTTGGGACAACTGGTCTAAACAGCCTTCTTCTTTCCTCTGCCCCTAAATGCCTGGTCTCTTCGGCTCCAAAGCCGGAAAAGAGCTGGCCATGACCATGTTCCCTCTACTCTGAGAATTCCTGTCAGCACTGGATTCTAGCATTCTAAAAAATGTAACGATATATAAAGCTGCCCTGCCAAAGTACATGCTTATTTAATGCAATGTATGGTTATTTTCTAAAGCTTTTATATAATGAAAATAGAACAGGATGTGCCATCAGACAAATGGATCCATCAGGCCTGCAGCCAAGTCCTGAGCCCATCATATGGGATCTTGGATCCTGAATCTAGATGCAGTGTTCTATTTTCCTGTTCCTTAACTCTTTTTTTTTTTTTTAAATATATTTTATTGCTTTTGTACAGAGAGGAAGGGAGAGAAATAGAGAGTTAGAAACATCGATGATGAGATTCATCAATCAGCTGCCTCTTGCACACCCCCTACTGGGGATATGCTCGCAACCAAGGTACATGCCCTTGACCGGAATCGAACCCGGGACCTTTCAGTCCAAGCCGACGCTCTATCCATTGAGCCAAACAGGTTTCGGCCTGTTCCTTAACTCTTACCATCAGTCTAATCTGACTCAGAATTTATCCTCGGCTTTAAGGAAAATACTTCTGAATTCTTACAGCTCTCATAAAGCCCCTCCCAGAACTCAGTCTCATCTTTATGTGCAATGGGGCTGATATCTATTGGCCGGGATCATTGTGACAATAGAATGAGATGACAGACCCTATGGAAAGGGCTCTTACAGAGAAGACAGTTCTCTTTTCCCCAGTCCCTTTGTCTGTCTTTCTTTCTTTCTTTCTTTCTTTCTTTCTTTCTTTCTTTCTTTCTTTCTTTCTTTCTTCCTTCCTTCCTTCCTTCCTTCCTTCCTTCCTTCCTTCCTTCCTTCCTTTCTTTCTTTTTTTAATATTTATGCTGAAAAGTGGACACAGATTAAGGGCAGAGGTCAGTGAATTTTCAAATAGGGTATCTAATAATAAAAGAGTAATATGCTAATTAGACAGAGAGACCTTGCGATGTCCTTCTGAACAAAGCCATGGTGGCAGGGCCAGGCAAAATCAAGTTAGGGGCAATCAGGCCAGCAAGGGGGGGGGAGGGGGAGGGAGGCAGTTGGGGGCAAGCAGGTTGGCAGGCAGGTGAGCAGTTAGGAGCCAGCGGTCCCAGATTGGAGAGGGTGCAAGCCGGGCTGAGGGACAACTCTCCCCATGCATGAATTTCATACACCAGGCCACTAGTATCTAATAATCAGCCTCCAGCTTAACAAATACAGCAGGTCCCTAGAAGCCTCCCTTGAGCCCCTTCTCTTCCTGATTTTAATAGTTTGGGGAGTGAGACCATTGTCATCCATAGGAAAGAAGCTGTCCTAAGGACCTTCTTCAAGACCTCGTGTGTGTAAGTAAAAAAGTCAAGTTCTCAGAAAGTGATTGTTGGTTTCTCCTCAGGATATCCAGGTGAACAGAGAGTTTGATGATCTCGCTAGCTCAGTGAAGGTAACTCTTCCAGGGCTTTGCATAAAGACTGATGTCGGCAGAGTGGAATACAAAAAAGAGTTACTGGGGGTCTTGAGACCATCCCTACCAGCGTCTGTCCCTAAATGACTGTGGAGTGTAGCCTCACAATGTGTTCTTATTATCTGGGCCTGCATTGAATCACCATGACAACCAGGTGGTCTCATGGAGCAATCTTCACACTGACTCAAGACACCTGCATCCTCCTTTCCATCCCAACCACTGCACTCACCTGGGCCTTCCTTCGTTCTCACTCATTCCTATAACACGAAGTTGTACCATGTGCTGCACGCTGAGCTGGGCATGGGGTCAAAACTGCCCACACAAGTCTCTGCTCTGGTGATTTACCTTGGAAGACAATCAAAATAGAAGGCGGTGTGCAACTGGCATTCCCAAACTCAACTTGCCATGATGCAGACTGTCACAGCTTTTTTGGAAGGCAATTTATCAGTAGGCACCGAGAGCCTTAAAATTGCCTGTGTCCTTTGATCCAGTGGTCTGACCAATCTGCTCTATAGAAGTAATGCTATTTATAATAATGAAAATTGTAAATAACTTAAATGCCAAATAAGAGGGGATTGGTTACTAAAATTTGGAACTTTGCTAACATTGAAAGCCAAGTGCTCAAAGTACAGTGACCAATTTCTGAAAATGCACAAGGTTAATGTTAAGAAAATCAGGATAAAAAAATTATGTGTTTTTTTTTTAACAGTTCCTCAAAAGGTTAAACATGGAGCTACCATATGACCCAGCAAATCCACTCCTAGAGAAATAAAAACGTATGTCTACACAAAAACTTGTACACAAATGTTCACAGCAGCATTATTAATATCTGCAAAGTGCAAATGCTCACCAACTGAAGAATGAATGGGTAAATAAAATGTGGTATAACCATACAAAGGCAATAAAAAAAGGATGAAATTTGGAGTGATAAAATGTTTTGAAATTGTCCTGTCCAGTGTGGCTCAATTGGTTGGAGCATTGTCTTGTATTCCAAAAAGTTCCCGGGTTCAATTACGAGTCAGGGCACATACCAAAGTTATGGGTTCAATACTGGGTTGGGTGTGTGCAGGAGGCAGTGGATTGGTGTTTCCCTCTTTCCCTTCCTCTATCTAAAAAATGTATTTTAATGTTCTAAAATTATGGTAATAGTTGCATCATTACATGAATATACTCTAGGTTTATGGATTTTTATGTTTTTGATATTTTCCTGAATTTCTACACTTTCTACTCTAAGTATGTGTTCTTTTCATAATCAGAAAAATAAATAGTACTTAAAAACACAACCTGACACAGGCTACAATTCAGTTGTGTGCATGGTGTGGTTGAAGTCCTGAGTAAAGTGAGTGCTACATCCTGAATTATGACCCTCCCCACAATTCTTATCTTAAAAGCCGTAACCTCCAAGGTGACTCTATTTGGAGATAGGAGGTAATTAAGGTTAAATGAGGTCATAATGGTGGGATTATGATCCAATAGGATTAGTGTCCTTTTAAGAAGAGACATCAGGCCCTAGCTGGTTTGGCTCAATGGATAGAGCGTCAACCTGCAGACTGAAGGATCTGGGTTCAATTCTGGTCAAGGGTACAAGCCTGGGTTGCAGGCTTGATCCCCAGTGTGGAACGTGCAGGAGGTAGCTGATCCATGATTCTCTCTCATCACTAATGTTTCTAACTCTCCCTCTCCCTTCCTCTCTAAAATCAATAAAAATATATATTAAGCCAAAACCAGTTTGGCTCAGTGGATAGAGTGTCGGCTGGTGAACTGAAGGGTCCTGGGTTCAATTCCGGTCAGGGGCATGTGCCTTGGTTACGGGCACATCCCCATTGGGGAGTGTGTAGGAGGCCGCTGATCAATGTTTCTCTCTCATCGATGTTTCTGGATCTCTGTCCCTCTCCCTTCCTCTCTGTAAAAAAGTCAATAAAATACATTTTTAAAAATATATGTATATATATATATATATATATATATATTAAAAAAAGAAGAAGAGACATCAGAAAGCTTGTTCTCTTCCCTGTCCTCTGGTGTGAAGACACAGGAAAACACTGTAAGCCAGAAAGCAAGCCCTCCCAATGCTCCCAACCTTGATCTGGGACTTCCAGCATCCAGAACTGTGAAAAAATAATTTGTTGTTTCAGCCACTCAGTCTGCGATATTTTGTTTTGGGTTTTATTTTTTAAATATATTTTTATTGATTTCAGGGAAAAAGGGAGAGGGAGAGATAGAAACATCAATGATGAGAATCATTGATCTGCTGCCTCCCGCACACCCCACACTGGGGAATCAGAGACTGCAACCCGGGCATGTGCCCTGACCCAGAATCGAACCATGACCTCCTGGTTCATAGGCCGATGCTCCACCACTGAGCCGCGCTGGCCGGACAGTGTGTGTACTTTGTTATGGCAGCCCAAGCTAAACAAGACAGAAAGATTCACTTTCATGGGGAGAAAAGGCAGGGCGGGTTCCTCTTGATTTCCTTGGTTCTCTCTGACCCTCCTACATCCTCTTCCTCCCTATCACCAATGCCACTATTCAGAGGCTCCTCAAGTCCTATAGGAAAGTCCCAATTCCTTAACCTGGCATGTCCATGTCAGGGGGCGGGTTCCCCACTCTCCTTACCGGGGAAGTTAAGATATGGCTGGCACCCTAGAACAGAGTGCTGCATTACGGTAATGAGCCTGGATCCCCAAGTTTCCCAAAGTTTAAAAAAAAATAAAAATTGGATTCTAAAGAAAATTTAGTCGATCTTTACGGAATGGACGAATCAAGTTAATTGTCCCAAAGTCCTCCCAAATGGGCACCGCCCCCACCCCCTTGTCCCAGGACACCCATTCCTCATTAAAGAAGTAATAAAATCCTGCCCAATTTCAGGGTGCTGGCTTGAACAGGCCTATCTGCACCGGAAAGGGGTGGGGAAGTGAGAGGGTGCAGACTTAGGGTGGATGTCTGTCATACCTCCTCCATGAGGTGGCCATGTTTGCAAAAGGCCTCGCATACGAAGCAGGGAGTCAAGGGCTTGAGATGCCTGGGGAGGGGGTGACCGCACAAGGCGGACATCGAGTCATTCGCATGCCGCCAGGTGCTCACAGGCATGGAAACCTCCTGTGCCCCAGCCGGGCGGGCGCCACAGCTGCTCCAATCTCCAGTCGGAGAATGCTCCGGAAACACCTGAATGTGCGCTCAGCCTTCCTCGACCTCCGCAGCCTTCCCGCCAAACCTGCAGCCAATCAGAACGTGCCGCACTACAGGAGTCGAGCGACAGCCAATCAGAAGCTGGGTTCTAGGCCTTGGCCCGCCTGAGGCGCCCCGGACCAATGGCCGCCTGGGCGTTGGCGGGCCTATAAGGGGCAGCGTGCGCGGTGCGGAGGTGGCCGTTGGGCGCGCGGAGCTTCGCTACCGTTTCTTTTTGGTCGAGGAGCAGAGTCCGGCAGCGGCAGCGCTCACCATGGTAAGGCCTTGGGGCTGGGCGGGCGCGGTAGGCCCGGCGCACATTGGAAGGACCGTGGAGACAGGCAGGCCTGCACACTCCCAGGCGGGAGGGTGGACGAAGTCCGCCACGTGAGGCCGCAGCCCACGGAGAGCGCCGGGGGTGCGGCGGGAGCGGGCCTAGGCGGGGAGACGGGGCCGGGGGGGGGCTAGCGAAGAGCCAGCCCAGAGGCACCACGAGGCCCGAGGCCCCCTGGACGGACGGACGGACGGGGACACACACACACACACACACACACACACACACACACACACGAGGACTCGAGCTCATTCTGAGTTTGTGGGCCCAGAAGGCGGTGGCGACCTCCATCATGGGAGGGGGGTCGGCAAGGGCAGACAGGAAATTGCCCCTTAAAGAGCCAGGGCGGCCGAAACCAGTTTGGCTCAGTGGATAGAGCATCTGGCTGCGGACTGAAAGGTCCGGGGTTCCATTCCGGTCGAGGGCATGTACCTTGATTGCAGGCACATCCGGGGGGGAGGGGAGGGAGACACACGTGCAGGAGACGGCTGACCCATGTTTCTGACTCTATCCCTCTTCCTCTCTGTAAAATTCAATAAAATATATATATTTTTTAAAAGTCAGAGTGGCAGCTGTCCTGTGAGATGGCCTTGACTGTCTCTGAGAGGACAAACCACAGTGTTGAGTTCCTGGAGACTGGAGGGTGATTCTCAAACATTCTGGTCTCAGAACCTCCCTACATTTGTCCCATTAGGAATTAAAACTAAGAACTGTAAAAATACTTTTTATTACTTTACAGCAAAGATGGTAACATAAATAACAAATACCCAAGTCTGAACAGCCAGTTTGTCATTTCTTTCAAATACAAACAGCATGCCGCGAAAAAAGCAGCTAGTTCACAGTTGGCAACTCAGATACACAAGTGCTTTTTCTCAGTACAGCTGTACTGCAATGTGTGCACAAGTATTTTATATGTACTTTCCATTTTGTCACGGTACACAGGGTAGAGATTTAATAAAATGAATTAATCTTGATAATTAGATTCTGAGACTAACCATAGCACTTAGCTAAGTGGTTTGGCACCTCCGTTTTTACAGGGATAACTGGATCACACAAACCTCATAGAAAATAACATTTGAGAAAGCCTTAGACACTGGAATGCATATATATAGCATGCCATATAGTGACAGTTGCCTGGAAAATGAATGGGTCTCATATTTATGTTCTGTTTCCCAGCGAGAGTGCATTTCTATCCACGTGGGACAGGCCGGTGTCCAGATCGGCAATGCCTGCTGGGAATTATATTGCCTTGAACATGGCATTCAGCCTGACGGGCAAATGCCAAGTGACAAAACCATTGGTGGTGGGGATGACTCCTTCAACACGTTCTTCAGCGAGACTGGGGCTGGCAAGCATGTGCCCAGAGCAGTGTTTGTGGACCTGGAGCCCACCGTGGTTGGTAGGTACTGGGGCAAACAGGGCAGAGTCAGGCTGGCGTCACCTTCATGCTGTGCACCTTCATGCTGGTGCATGAGTCTTCACCTGCAGCTAGAAATAGAAATTGGAGAACAATCATTGGGTCCCTCCAGAGTAGTTGCCTGAGGAGAGCTGCAGAGAGAGCACCTGTCAGTGGTCACCCAGAGATGACAGAATGTCACCCTCAAGTCTGAGACCAGGCCGCACAGGTGCCCTGATAGGACTGCCTGGCAAAAACCACACTGACCTAGTGACTGTCCTGTGTGAACTATTTTAAAAATTGTACCATTTGGTGCGAAATAAATATGGAGAACTGCCTGTGTGCAGGGGTTCCAGTCAGGCTGGCATTTGCCATGAGTTGAGTTTACCTGCCTAGAGCCATAGATTGCAGATGTGCTCTGTGTGTGACATAGAGCCTCCCTGTGACACACGGATGCTGTTCACCTCCAAGGAACAGCACGTGCTGGTAGAACTGAACATCCCCCAGTCTGTCTGTGCTGGTGAGTTAACAATGGTCCTTAAAGGCACATGTCCTCTCTGTAGATGAAGTGCGCACAGGGACCTACAGGCAGCTCTTCCACCCTGAGCAGCTGATCACCGGGAAGGAAGATGCAGCCAATAATTATGCCAGAGGCCATTACACCATCGGCAAGGAGATTGTTGACCTGGTCCTGGACCGGATCCGCAAACTGGTAAGCAGGGTGCTGGGAAGCCTTCCAGAGCCATTTTGGAAAAACCCAAGGCAGAAGCATGAATCATGGTCCTCCTTTCTGGTGTGGCTGCAGTGCGTCCATACGTAATCTCTGGTGTCTGCTTTGCCTTCCCCCCAGTGGAATGCATGTTACCTGGGGTGACTGGGATCCATTTAAAATCGTGGAGTCAAAGAGAAGTGTCCTAGGCTCGTTGGAGTTGGCGGTGTGGCTTCACAGGGCACTGCTCATGTCTCTGCTCTCTCCCAGGCGGATCTGTGCACGGGGCTGCAGGGCTTCCTCATCTTCCACAGCTTCGGGGGCGGCACCGGCTCCGGGTTTGCCTCTCTGCTCATGGAACGGCTGTCGGTGGACTATGGCAAGAAGTCCAAGCTCGAGTTTGCCATTTACCCAGCCCCCCAGGTGTCCACGGCCGTGGTGGAGCCCTACAACTCCATCCTGACCACCCACACGACCCTGGAACATTCTGACTGCGCCTTCATGGTGGACAATGAGGCCATCTATGACATATGTCGGCGCAACCTGGACATCGAGCGGCCCACGTACACCAACCTCAATCGCCTGATTGGGCAGATCGTGTCCTCCATCACGGCCTCCCTACGCTTTGACGGGGCCCTGAACGTGGACTTGACGGAATTCCAGACCAACCTGGTCCCGTACCCCCGCATCCACTTCCCCCTGGCCACCTACGCCCCAGTCATCTCGGCTGAGAAGGCCTACCACGAGCAGCTGTCCGTGGCCGAGATCACCAATGCCTGCTTTGAGCCTGCCAACCAGATGGTCAAGTGTGACCCTCGCCATGGCAAGTACATGGCCTGCTGCATGTTGTACCGGGGGGACGTGGTCCCGAAAGATGTCAACGCGGCCATCGCCACCATCAAGACCAAGCGCACCATCCAGTTTGTGGATTGGTGCCCCACAGGATTTAAGGTAGGATGGGTGATGACGCGTGGTTTTACCTGTTAGCATGCTGCAGGCCCTGCGATAGGACAGGATGCCGCCCTTGTGGAGAAGACCCTGTTCCGTGGCAGCTACGCTCTTGGTTATCAGTTAGTGTACCTTTTAACAGAAGAGAAAATTTCTGAAGGATCGTTGTTCCCATTAGGATGGTGGATTTAATATGGGAAATGTAGGTTGACCTTGAAATTATTTTTAAAAATTTGAAATAGTAAAATTTACATTAATAGAAATGTAGATATTTTCTTTAAGTCCTTGTTCACAATTGGTCTTCTGCATTAGATACATCTGTAGACCTCCCACATTTATAAACCCTCATTTTGGGAATTGCATGTGATTCATGCAAAAAAAAAAAAAAATCATTAAATCTTACATAGGTTTGCAGACCATAGAGGTTTTAGGTAGGAGTTGAAACCTTCCATTCCAAGTTCTTGAGTGGGAGAAAGTTTGTTTCAGTCCTGTGACCTTTGGAAATTAAGAACATCTAAGCCAGCCTCAGCTGGGAGGCATTGTGGGAGCTGCTGTGCCCCATGCCCAGGTTCATCTCCTTGCTGAGTCTCTGGGTCCTGAGAACCAGTAGGGAGGCTGGTCTGGGAGGAGGCGCAGGAAGTCAAAGCTTCTACTGTATCCAGGGAAGACACTCCAACCTCAGATGGATCATGTGAATTCCTGCTCCTTTAAAAATTCTTTCTCATGTCTGAGTGGATTTCACCATGTTCTTTAACAACCATTTGTTTAGGGATATGGTGTTTTCAAGGAATCATCCATGTTTAAATATTTTTAGTTTTTTTTATTATAGAAACACACATAAGTGGCAAAATATTAAAACATGAATGCTGACTCATGTCTTCTCTTTCCCCAGGGCTTTGTTTGTCCTTACAGTGACGTTCTGTGTATATTAATGTCTTATGCCTCTTGCTATATGGGTGAGGTTCACAGGAAGAGCCTAGCAGCATGGGCAAAGAATGCACATTCTCTTCACATAGGTGACAGACGCAACTTGCTGTACACAGGTGGCCAGAGAATGGGAAGCCGGCAGCACTCCCACTAGGAGGGGCTGGTTGGCCTAGCTTTGAGCCATGGGGCCCCCTAATCAGGGTCAGAACCCTCTGTGCCCTTTACCCTGCCCTTCCAACTCTCCTGGAGAATTGTGTGCCTGGCTGCTGCCTACTACTGACTACTCGCCAGGGCAGAGATAGGTGACTGCCTCAGCACATTCCCAGGCATTTGTCTTCCTCCAGCATGATGCTCCCTAAGTTGTCCAAACCACTAATCTATTTATTGCTCTATGGGCATTTCTAAGCCTAAATACATAGAATTCAACTTGTTTTTCTGCTTATCAAATATACAATATATCTTGGATTATAAATATATGCCGGGACAGATTTATCATTCTTTTTCATAATCATATATAGTATTTTATTGAATATTTTACTGAATGGGCATGTAATAATGATGGGCATTTGCTTCCAGTTTTGCCATTACAAACAGCACTTTAAATACAGAGAAGTCTTTATACATGTAGCTTTATGTTCTTGTGTGAGTAAATCCTAACTGTGGAAGTATATGATCGGCCTTCACTAGATAGCTAAGTAGGTTAGAGCAGCCCCCTGTATGCCAGGGTTGCAGGTTCAATCCCCAGTCAGGGCACACCCAAAAAAAAAAAATGAAATACATAGATAAATGGAAAAGTAAGTTGATGTTTCTCGAGCCCTGAAACCAATCAATCAAAAGAAACAAAGATGTAAGCAGTTAAAGGATATTAAATGTTTACAAATATTGCCAAAAACTAATGTACCAGTTTCTATAGGGCTTAATTTAAACTGGGCCCACAGCTCCAGTTTTCAAAAACAAGCTACCATTTCTGAGGCCACAATACAAACTTCACTCTATTTTCTTCTCCTCTGGCAGGTGGGCATCAACTACCAGCCCCCCACCGTCGTCCCTGGGGGAGACCTGGCCAAGGTGCAGCGGGCTGTGTGCATGCTGAGCAACACCACCGCCATCGCCGAGGCCTGGGCCCGCCTGGACCATAAGTTCGACCTCATGTATGCAAAGCGAGCCTTTGTGCATTGGTACGTGGGGGAGGGCATGGAGGAAGGGGAGTTCTCGGAGGCCCGGGAGGACCTGGCAGCTCTGGAGAAAGATTATGAAGAGGTGGGCGTGGATTCCGTGGAAGCTGAGGCTGAAGAAGGGGAAGAATACTGAATGGGAGAGTTGTGCTGGCACCCATCCCTTTGTATTCCCCCCCACACACACTGTAACATTACAAGATATGTTTATCTATTAAAGTTTCTGTATTAAGCATCATTTGTCCCTTGTGCTGCAATTTGACAAAATTCCCCATCCAGATACCTGCCTTTTTCCAAGTGGATTTGTAGGGGGAAAGCATTTCCTTTCAAACTGAAAAACTGTACATTTAATTACCTGTTACTCCCTGAAAGGGCTTCAAAAAGCACTGCTGAGGAAATTAAGAAAAGGTGCTTCAATTATTTTAAACGTAAACATTCTTAAGTCCTTCGTTCCATACTAAAGGCTCTTGGGGAAAATGGAACAGTAACCTGCTTTTTTCTAAGCTGCAGAGGGGCTGTTTTTACCATCTAGTGGGAGGGGCCAGGGAGGCAGCCCCACCAGCCCAAACCCAATTTCTGGCCTCCCTTTTAGGAAGGCCCTTAGCTTTCCCCTTTAAGTACCTGAGGGAAGTCGCTAGCACGGAGCCTGTGCCCATCACATTTCCCAAAACATAATCACGCGCCACTGCCCACCCTTCCAATTAGAGGCACCGCTCCAGAAGTCGTGAGCACTGGTTTTTGTCAGGTTTGAACTCGAGCCCAGGCCCCTTTTCTTGCCGTTGAAGTTTCTTCTCTTGCAACCGGGACCGCCGAGAATGCATGGTCCGGGCCAAAGGCACTACCGGTCAACAACCAATAGCCACAAAGGGTAAGGCAAGGGGCTTACTTTGCGAAGACGAAAGCGTAGGGGGAGCTTAGGACGAAGCGTTCACAGTTGTGACCCCATGCTCCCATCACTTCCGGGTCCAGACCCGCCCTTCAGGCCAGCGTCCCGTACTTCCCAGTCTCTATGGTTTCAACTTCCGCCACTCGCCACATCTCGCGAGGCTCCGGCGGCTCAGCAATGGCGAGACCGTGAGTGCCGCGGACGGGAGCCCGAGAAAGGGCTGGGAAGGGGCTTGGGCGAAATCGGGCAGAGGGAGACTCGGCAAGCCAGAGCTGCCTGAACCGGAGCGGCGGCTGGGGGCTCGAGGCCCCTACGGGCCGGCCAGCCGCCCGCGACCAAGCTCCCGCCTCTTCCCCAGATGCCGCGTCACTGCTCTGCCGCCGGCTGCTGCACTCGGGATACCCGCGAGACGCGCAATCGCGGCATCTCCTTCCACAGGTCAGCGCGCGTGCGTGCTGGCTCACGCAGGTTGACCTGCACATGTGCGCATTTTGCTAGCGTGAAGCCACAATTGCACACACGCGTTCTCCGTTTGGGGCGAAGCTTGAACTTGTAGGTGGGTGGGAGGGGGTAAAGCGGGCGATCTAGGAGGAATTGAGTCCGGATGGGAAAGGAAGGATGCACCTCCACCACCCTTGAATTTTCTGCTCTGCGCTCTTACCTACTAGGTGACGTTGAGCAAATTGTGCCTCTTTTTGAGGCCTAGATTCCGCGCCTGTGCTGTGGAGGACGGTGCTTCCCTGTTGGGGTTGAAGGGCGGCCTCCTGGCATCATGTGCAAAGCCAGCTATTCCCATCTTGGGAACATAGGTAGCCCCAGGGTTCAGGAACCCCGGGATTCACAGGTTTGTGGCTCCACAGACTGCCCAAAAAGGACAACCCAAGGCGAGGCTTGTGGCTGGCCAATTGCCAGAGGCTGGACCCCAGCGGCCAGGGCCTATGGGACCCATCATCCGAGTACATCTACTTCTGCTCCAAACACTTCGAGGAGAACTGCTTTGAGCTGGTGGGAATCAGGTGAGCCTCCTTGCCAGCCAGCATTGGTGGTATCTGTAAGAGCCCGAATCTGTATCCGGAATCACCTGGCAGAAGACAGGCAGACCTAGTTTCAGGGATGGCTGTCTCTTCCCAGCTCTGTACCTCAGTTTCCTCTTGCAGCAGATGAGATCAGTAAGACCCAGCCCCTCGGGATGGTTATGCCAGTGACACAAGAGGAAAACATTAGCTTTTTCTAGCAGGTATTCCTTAGAACCCCAGTCCTCCCACCAAGTCCACAAATGAAATAATTCCTTTTGCTGCTCAACCCAGTTCTGGTGCAGCCTTTCCACACATCTTAACTTTGAGGAGTCCTGCAGGGAAGAGATTGGTGTAACTCTGCCCGATTTGGCATTCTCCAAACTAATTGTTTGCTAGAAAGCGGGAGAGCCTGCTCCAGGGTGCTAGAAGGCATGCTCACTCTGATCTGCTGCAGGTCAGCTGGGGGTGGCAGTGCTCATTCTCTATCTCATCCAGGTTGCTTTCCCCAACAGTGGGTATCACCGGCTGAAGGAGGGGGCAGTTCCCACGATATTTGAGTCTTTCACCAAGTTGCGCCGGACAACCAAGACCAAGGGGCACCATTACCCACCTGGTCCCCCTGATGTCAGCCGGCTCCGGCGATGCAGGAAGCGGTATGTGCTGTGGGTGAGGGTTGCTCCACTCACCCCAATTTTGAGGGACTGGGCTTTAGAGTGTCTACCAGCAGCAGTGATGGACAGGGTCCTGAGCCTATGGAGCGAGCTGATGCTCCAGTTCAGGGGGGCTGGTGAAGCGGGGTCTGGCAAGCCCTTAGCCTGACCTGTCAGTCTCTCTCCCCCACAGCTGCCCTGAGGGCCGAGGACCCACAACTCCTTTTTCTCCACCTCCACCTGCCGAGGTCACCTGCTTTCCCGTGGAAGAGGCCTCGGCACCTGCTGCTTTGCCTGCCTCCCCTGCGGGGAGGCTGGAGCCTGGCCTCAGCAGTCCCTTCTCAGACCTCCTGGGGCCTCTGGGTGCCCAAGCAGATGAAGCAGGCTGCAGCGCCCAGCCCTCGCCGGAGCGGGAGCCAGAGCGGCAGCCGTCCCCTCTCGAGCCTCGGCCTGTCTCACCCTCAGCCTACATGCTGCGCCTCCCACCACCCGCTGGAGCCTACATCCAGAATGAGCACAGCTACCAGGTGGGCAGTGCACTGCTCTGGAAGCGGAGGGCTGAGGCTGCACTCGATGCCCTGGACAAGGCCCAGCGCCAGCTGCAGGCCTGCAAGCGACGGGAACAGCGACTGCGGCTGCGGCTAACCAAGCTACAGCAGGAGAGGGCGCGGGAGAAGCGGGCACAGGCAGATGCCCGCCAGACTCTGAAGGAACATGTGCAGGACTTTGCCATGCAGCTGAGCAACAGCATGACCTGAATGAGGGGCCACGGGACCCACGGCTGATGAGGGAGTGCCTCTTCCTCAGAATCCACCTGGAAAGGGACTTGCTTTGAGTTGCATCCACCAGACCTACCAGCTGCCCCAATAAAGTGGGTTCTAGGAGGCCCTATATCTGGTTCAGCTGAGGGCTGGGGCCCTTCCCTCAGTACCGGGCTTGTTCCCCCAAGTCAATAGCTGCAGCCCCCAGAAGGCTCAGACCCTGGAGTCCAAACTCTGGGCTGCAGATAACGGAGTACAGCTCTTGCCTACACCTCCCCATGCAGCTCCGTACCCCACGGGTTCTCTGAGGTGGGGATGGTCTAAGTAGAGGCTGGGGCAGCACTAGGCACCCTTCCTTTTCCACCTGAAACAGGTGCCAACACATACTGGTTTTTTTGGGGGGGAAATGCTCCTAAAACCCAAGCCAGAGAGTTCCTTTCCAGGGACCCACCCGGCTTCCAGCCTGAGTCCTGGCCTGAAGGCCAGCCCCCACTCAAGATGGGCCTATCTCATCTGAAAATCAGGACAAAAATAGTATTTTCTGACCTCCTGGGGCTGTTATGCTTGGCAAGTAGTAAGGCTCAACATTTCTGGTCCCTGCAGAAGTGAGGGAAGCACACAGCAGCAGTCCTGGCTTCCATCTGTGTCCCCATTTTAATTCAACTTGACTGAAATCTAGAAGGCTTCCCTGCTCCTGTAATCATAGCAAGCAGCTTCGTGCATGGGGCGACTGGGACCGCCCAGGTGATACCTCCCTGCTGGGCCTTGGCCACAACAGCCCCAAGAGCACAGCTGAATTCTTTCTAGTCCTGTGAATCGCCACACAGTTCTGAAATTTGCTTTTTATGTGGTTCATTTGTTTACAGCATGTCTAGAAAAGACAGTCAGGTGACCAGTTACAAGGGTCCCAAGTCGTCCACTGTAAAGCAGGACGACTAAGCTCATTTTGCTCTATGGATGGGCTCCCTTGCCTAAGGGTGCTCACCTCCCACAGCGGCTCCCCATCCGCCTACATCCAGGCTCTTCAAGGGCTGAGTGGCAGGTGCGTTTACACGAGGCACAGCCAGAGGAAGGTGGACCCTGAGGCAGGAGAGAAAGATCATTTCCCCCAAAGTGGCTTCCTAGAAGCTGAGGCAGCAGGGTCCCTGGGATTCTTGTTCCCAGAAAGAGGCTGAACGGTGCCTTCCGCATTGGGGTGCAATCACAGGGCCTGCTGTGGGGGACAGGGAAAGCTACATTTCCACCCCAGGCAGGAGCCCCAGGCTTAGGCTCAGGAGGGAGAAGCCAGCCTGGATTCCTGCCAGCCCTTTCCTCCGTGGGTCTGGTTGCCTCAGGTGCAGGTGAGAAGTTGCTGACAGAACCAGGCAAGACTGACCAATCCCAAGCAAATGGGCCACATGGCCCATCCACAGCTGTGCGAGGGCCAGAGCCCACCGGTGGGGACCATACCAGCAAGGTATGTGTAGTAGGTAGCACTGCTGTAGCTTCAATGGAGGCATGCCTATGACAGAACACAGGGATACACAGGGATTGGGGGCATCTTTACTGATTTCTCCTCGGCACAGCCCAGGGGGATGGACAATGTGGGATCCTGAAGTCCCTCTGGAATCCAGACCCAGTCCAGAGTGGTTGGCCCTGTGGGCTAAGAACTGGCCCCAGGGCCCTTTACACTCCAAAATTCATCTTGAATCAGATTCCATCTGCCCATTACAGGTGCCCACGCATAAGCTCCAGGGAGCCTTTATACCAACCTTGATGAGGGGGGCCTGTGTGACCCCCACATTGGAGACCAACATGACTGTAGCCAGATGCACAACTATGCT